TCCTCACCGCACAGATTTTGGAAGGTGGTCAAATTGGGATTTGACAGGAGTAAGAACTACTAAATCAGCTGGACTGCTGTGAACCCTTTCCCTGTTGCCATTCCACTGCAGCTCTTTATAAAGGGGAGAGAGATCAGAAGGTCTGAGCACTCGGACAGCTGGGTCTCCCTTTGGGTGGAGGTGTCTTGACTATTTTAGGTGACATTTAAAGTTGAAGAGGCTGCAACAAGACTCCCCCCTGCTCCCTGCATAGTGAGGGTTCATGGGATAGAAGCAACTTGTGGCAGAGCTCCCCTTCTGCACTGTCCCAAGGGGATCTCATTTGTAGATTGTACCGTCTCCATCTCCAGCTCTCACTGAAGAGTTCTGGGTCCACAGGGAGTAAAAGTAACACGAACAAAAGCACTCACCTCTATCCGCAAAAGCAGTCCCCAGTTAGTATTACACTTGAAATGCTTGAAACAGAGACATGAAGCTTCATTACTGTAACAAAAGCAGATCCCCTACAGCAATGGGGACCAAGCTTTCTGGCACACATGCCACAAATGTATTCCACACCCTTCAAGTGCCCCATATCCCCTTTCACTTACCTGATCTGCCACTCAGCTTTCTGCTCCCTGTCCTGTGCTCCCAGCCTGATCTACTGCTTTGCTTTTTTGTCCCCTCTGCAACCTGCTGAGTGCCACTAATAGCACCCATGCCAGTTTGGCTACACTTGCCCTACTACACTTTCCTGGGTAACGCACATCCTATGAGGATTCATGTTTTTTGTTTTTGTATTTTTTTAAACTGGCACACTGAGTGTGTGCACATTCTCTGATCTAAACTTTCACAGGTTAGACACAAAACAACTTTATTTCAATACTTGTTTATTATGGCAAACTGACAGGCTCATTAAGATATCAACAGTGAAACGGTCCTTTAATACTAAACTCCAAGGAGCGAGTATGTTGCAGCATGGAGCACTAGTTATTTCAGTTCATATTGCTGCAGCCTTGTTGTACACACAATACGGTATTACTGGGCAACAACCTTTACATGATGCAAACCATTAAAAAACCCAAATCCACACACATTATAACAAGACAGATACCTGGTATCTGCAGTCTCCTTCAACCCAGTACTCAGTAACCTCAGTAGATCACAAAATTACCTGGAGCAGTTGAAACAAGATGGGCATGATCCTTTCTAGATTGTCTGTCTGTGTGCATTAGGTTTTAATTGCAGCCAGTCTAACCTAATTTTTTTTTTTAAAAAGGAGAAACTAACTCCTTGATATTGCCTTTTTTAATCCCATAAAAGCAAGGGAAATCAATCCAAAATGGCCCTGGGATTCACTTTGGCTAGCTGCATTTTTTGTTAACACAAGTATTTGCTTTGTAACTAAACCACGTTTATTGACAAAAAGGGACACTATCTACAAGTTAGGCACAGTAAAAAACACTTCATTATATGGAAAGGGGAATCCTATGCAACCTCTCTGATAAGCGACTTCTCTATATTGATTAAAAAGGGCCAAACAGTTCTCAGCACATAGAACACTATATTTAGGAAGAGAATGGAAATCGGACACGCTCCTTATTGATAATTTCCTTGTCAATGTGGATCTCTGAAGGCAGACAGTGCCCACCATTATGCCAGGAAAACAACTGTTTCCTGTGATCCCAGCAGGGGCTGGGATTTTTTGTGACACTTTCAGCCTAGTGCTGCTCCAGTTGACACTGGAGCAGGTGTGTGTCGGTGTGTAAACTCCAAAATCAAGGCAAACGGGGTTATGAAAACAGTGAAAAGCAGCTGAACAGCATTTAAAATTTGTTACTATAAAAACAATGCTTTATAAAATACTGTCATCTCTCCCCAGTAAAAAAATAAGCAGATAATTTCCCCCTCAGTTCTATAAAAACCATGAAATAGAAGTTCTGCTTCTCTTAAGTGAGACATACATGTCCTTTAAAAGTACTTTCCAATCCAATGCTCTGGTGCATTTTTAAGGTGATTTCACTTTTAAAATATAATCTTAAAAACTTGAAAAAACGAACCTTCAAGCTTGAGCACCTGGGGAAAAATAAATAGAGTCTCATCTCCTTGAAATGAAATTTCATCTGGGCTCCCAGGCAGCAGTCTTTTCTAACAGAGTCAGTGAGAAATCACGCTGTTTGGAGCATTAAATTAAGAGAACGGCACCTTGGGAAGCCAACAGGAATCTATCACTTGAGCCATGAAGTGGGTTTTGTTCATACAAACTGATGGCCAGCTCTGCTCAGAGCCTCTTGCTGTACGAGAGTGAAAGGTGTTTTCATTGAGTCAAGATCATCTGCTCTGAATCTCATTAAGGTGCTTAAGAGTTTACAACTCGGAGACCAATTTCTGGGAAACATTTTCATCTGCATATGTAAATCCCTCAAAACGGTTTGAAGAACGTGCATTCCTGTCACACCTGGAAAGGCAAAGGTTGGTGCAGTTTTTGCACAAACTACCCTTCAACGCAGTGGACTCCCAGCAAGAGACTCACTGAATGCATTTAACAATACTATATAGTTCCACAGCTCGAGTCCACCAGTTCCTTAATTTGTAGCAAGATGACCTGCACTAGCTTTGCGCTGTCACAGTGCCTAGAGATTGTCTCACCAATTCACAAGGATTAGTCCTGGGTTCTTCTATATGAAGCTCAGATTCAAACACTCTGGACAGAGTTTCCAGCTCTTTTAAGAAGTCCTGAAACAGACAATACAAACCAAAGACCACCTTAAAAAGCATTAACAATGAACAACAAACATTTCACAGATTTACACTGAGTCAAAGACTTGCATTGGGGAAGTTAATATAAACTCGAGCTGTGAAAGCAAAGGTGAACGGAGGCATGGATGGACTTTAGTCACTTTCAAGCATATAAAATGGGGCAGACAGATGAGGCACAGTGCTAGAGCATGATAAGTAAGCCTAAACTGCATAAAAAGGACCCTGAAAACAGGGATAATTCTGAAGCACTTCACAGTGACATTTCACCCTACGGATGGTTGTATTTCTACACACTACTGAAGCGGTACAAATGAAAAATGTTTCAAGAACAGGTGGAATTTGAAGCACTTTACATGTACATTTGTCCAGACCCAGAGACTGCAGCTGCCATAGTGATAAGGGAAAGATTTTCATATTGAAACTTCCTTTTGATATTCACTCCCACATTAAACTGACTTGTCACCTGATATCTGTACCTAAAGAGTACCATATTTTCTTCCATACAGCAGACTCCCATTTATAAAACTTACCTTTTTTTGGAAAGGCAGCAGCAAAGGGAAAAAAAAAACCACAACTAAAAACCCCCCTTCCTTGTAGTAGCTGAACAGCAGCAGCAGCTAGGGAGCTGAGTCCACTCCCCGCCCGGTGTGCCAGATGGGGCCACAGACCACCCCCATGCACTGGGTCGGGCTGCAGACTGACTGTGTGCCAGCACAATCCTACATGTGGGACTGTATCATCCAACTGGGAGTCTCTACATTGATCAGGGAATGTGTCAGTTGGGAAGTGGCAGTGGCATTAATTGCCATGGCTCCCAGAAACACAACAATTAACAATTGCCATGCCCCCCTACTGCCAAATTTCACAACTCATGGAGTCCCATGGGTTAAACTGAGCCTACATGCCCTCTGAATACCACTGGCAGAACCTGCTCTTACTATATTAGGAAATATGATGTGCACTCCAATTTCCACCAGCTGGTTTTGGAGAGAAAGGTGCTGGTTCTATGCAAGAAAATATAATACTGCCCAATTATCAAAGATGCAGGGAGCCTACGCTTGCCACAAATCAGTGGCGTTTGTGGGTGTTCAGCCTACTACTATAGCTACAGCTACAACCACAGCCACAGCCACCCTCAGTTTATAACTCTGGCCAGCAGATTAGATTCTCTTGTGAGTTCTGGTCGCAATGAAAGGGTTAGAAAAATAGCTAGATAGCTGGACAGCTGAGAATTTCCTGGCATGGAGAAGTTCTCAGTTGGGAGAGCGCCAAACACCCTACTATTCATAGATTTTAGGGGATGGAAGGGACCTTACAAGATCATCAGGTCCAGCCCCCTGCACTGGGGCAGGAAAGACTGCTGGGGTCAGATGACCCCAGCAAGGTGGGTGTCAAGACTCTTTTTGAAGATCACCAGGATGGGTGACTGTACCACCTCTGGGAGGAGTCTGTTCCAGACCCTCTGCACTCAAACTGTAAGAAGTTTTTCCTTATGTCCAATCTGAAGTGATCTTCAATCAGTTTGTGACCATTGTTTCTGTTTCTCCCTGGGGTGCCTTGGTGAACAGGTGCTCCCCCAGGCCCTGATGTACTATTATTCTAGATCCCTCCACACAACCTGTCAGAGCATAACCAGACCGAGTTATGCTCCAGTTATCCCATTCTGACTTATAATTCCTTCAGTATCATGCCAGCTGGGAAGGTGGCGATATTTTACAGGGCTGAAGTCATAGCAGCCATGGATGAGAAACAGTGATAAGTCCCCTTCTGTCCAACCTCCTCTTGTCCTAAGCAGAAATTCTGTACAGATAAGAATCCAGACCTGGACCTTTAAAGAGCTATGAAAAAATATATAAAACAAGGCTCTCAAACCAAAGTATAGATTCATATTCGCATCTAAGCAGATACTTACTGAGGGCCAGGCAAATTCCTGGATACTTCGCAAGTAGCTCTCTATCTCTGCATTTCCCATCAGATTGTACTCAACCAGACCATGAAGCATGAACAGGAACAAGTCCCACTGTAACCAAAAATAAAAAAATGTCAAGTTCCCTAGCAAGTGCCTTGTTTGCAGCCCTAACCATAGGCCCATGCACATTTAGCCCTTTGATCTCTTAGGCTAATTGGCTATTCTGTGGTTTGGTCTGGCACTAGGCTGAATAACCTCTGTGTCACATCTGTCTTCCCCAGACATGAACATCCTCTTGACGATGACACTTGCTGCTCTTTCCTTTTGTCCCTGAAGAAACAAAGTGCTAGTTTAACAGCAAGAGTCAAATCTTGCTGGCCTTATTCACACAGGTAGTCAGTCACATTTAAGTCAGAACACCTGCACAAGTATGGAAAGTGAGACTGGGCAGCTGGTTCTGAAGCGTTCAGAAAGCCTCACCTCTCGCTGCTTAGCTTCTGCAACATAGCCAATGTTCTTCTTGCTGAAGATCAGCTGCACTGGAACAAGCATCCCAAAATCTTCCTTCCAGACAGAGAGCAGCGATGTGAGAAGGTTGCAGAGGGGATGATTCTTGGATCGCTGTCTTTCAGGGTACTTCTGGGTCTGAAGCTCAAGTCCTCGGATTGGAATGTGGTCTGAAACTACAACGAGAGAGAGAACCTACTTGCTGCAGTTTTGGGTGGAGGCTTTATCAAGATGACGGTAAACTTAACAGGTGCAGTATGCAAGCTGACAGTCTGGTTTAGTAACAGCAATGCAGAAGACAAGGTGAGAACAGTGATGCAGAAACATCATGAAGTGCCACAGGCAACCAAGTGGACCTCAGTGGTTACACTCAAAATTCTGGGCTTCAAACCTGAACTAGAAGACATTCAGAGATAGGAGAAAAAAAGCAGACCATCTACTTTAGACCAGACACTTAACATTGCTCAGCAGGCTCATCATCCCCCAAGTTTGGGATAAAAGAGACTAAGGGTGGAAATAGGCAGCCCAGAGCAAAAACAAATGGATCTCCATACTTTTTGTCATGCCACAAATGCCCAGATTTGTGGCTGCAACAGAAGGTAGTAATAATTTGTGCTGCCGTCTTGCAGCAAATATCTATTTGCTTTGTGGTAGGAGAACATGGGCAGCCTGAAGCTGCTCATTTTCCAGCTGCTCTGGGCAGAGGCTCAAGGGGCCTAAGGCTGTGCAGGATCAGGCCCCTCAAGCCCTGTGAGAACCTGCCCAGCATTCCCTGCTTACCAAGGCATGCCCCTGGGATCTCTGGAGTGTGTTCAGGTAAGCGGGGAAACGCTCCGCTTATTTAGACATGCCCCACAGATCCCAGGGGCACATCTGGTTAAGTGGGGAAAGCCAGACAGGCTCTCATAGAGCTTGAGGGGCCAGATCCCAAACAAGAATTTCTGAGGAGTGCAGGACCAGGCCCCTCAAGCCCCAGCACATCACCCATTGTTCTGCCCGCTGATGCTGGGGGACAAGCAGTGACACATTTCGTCTAATAACGCTGATCAGCTATGGTGGGACCCATCTCAGCACAGATGATCTGCTTCATTGGGCAATGTTTTTTTTTCACCTAAATGCTGTGAGCTTGGAAAATCTTTAACAGAGTAGGATGCATCCGTCTCTCCTACAGAATGGGACCTTTGAAAAGAAATACTTTAAACTCTGCATTAGTAACTGAACTAGCAAGTTAGTAGTTCACACGTGTATGTCATGTTGCAGTACTCTCACTTTATAATCTGAAATTTTCTTCTACAACATCATCCTATTTTAATTGATATTGAATTTTTAACATGGCTAAACATGTGCCCATACCAGACACACAGAGCTTCTCTGTAATCTCACAGGAAGGCAACACTGCATCTTGGCATAAACTTTGCAATATATAGGTTCAGGCTGCATTCTAAAAGGGAAAGACACTTTGAACCTACGGCACTATTCTTAAAGGCTCCAGATGGAGGTTAGGAGCACTTACACACACACATGCAGTCTGCTCTGACGCACCAGAAATCCAGCACATTGGAGCACACTCGATTAACTGAGTCTGTAGAACACGTGAATTGATGTGCCTGGCACTGTGTCACGTACATTTGTATAAACGGCAAAATGTGCGTCAGTGCTGAGAAAATGGCAGCAGTGTGCTTTTGAACTAAAACACCTTGTGATACAATTTAGTTCGCAAGCGCACTGCCACCATTGTCTCAGCGCTGACTGGCATTTTGCCATTTATACAAGTGTGCCCAGCACTGCATAACATACATGTGTACAAATGCCCTGTGACAGGGGTTTTCAACCTTTTTTAATAAGTCTACCTCTGGCAGCCAGACAAGGAGCGGGAAGCGGATGGTGCATGGCTGGATGCGGAACGGTGGCAGCACGAGGTGGTGGGTGGCAGCGGCCGCTGCATCTGAGGCCCTGCTCTGCATCTGGCCAGCCGGGTGGCACCTGTGCAGCCCACAGAGGGGCACTGCTACCCTCACCCCACCCCAGCCCTGCTCCTGGGAGGCGGGGGCATGGGGCGGTGGGTGGCAGCACTCTGTCCCCGCCCACCCATGTGTACCCCCTAGGGCCTTCCCACGTACCCCCACTTGACAACCCCTGCCCCTATCAAACTGGCAGGGATGGTTAGAAGGGGTGAGGGATCTCCAACTAGGTCTATTAACTAAAAAGCATGTGAAGCTCATGAGGTGTAGTGAGACACTACATGCTAACAGTTCACAGGAAGGGAAATCATACTTTGCAATTAACCACTGTAACAGTCCCTATTAGCATTGTACTCTGAACCTGCAGAGACATGAAAGCAGCTACTGACTGTCTTGCAAGAGAGCCATGAAAGTAACCAAGATGTTATATTTATCAGTTTCTGATATCCAGAGACAAGGTTCCCTGAAAGTTCACTGCCTGAGACAAAGAGCAATTGCACAAGAATGCGCATACACTTAGAGTGAACAAAGCAGGTCAAACTGGAATTGAAGGAAGGCCATCTCAGAAGCATGCTGGTTGTGGGTGCATTTAAGAGACCTGTGAGAAGTCTTTGCAGATCTACTGGGGCTTTGTTACAAGAGGCTCAAAGTTCTGAAGTGAAAGCAGGAAGGGTCCTAGGGGCATCGCAACAGTCTTACCTAGAAGGGAAGCCAACTCTATGGTACACTTTGCCAGCTGCTGTTCCGAGGTAGGACACATGAACTGAAAGCACAAAACTGATATGTCACCATCTGGAAATCTTCTCATAACCAGCAACCCCCAGCTACTAAGAAAAAATTTTCATTAAAAATAATTACAGAAGTGCAAACAGATGACAGCAGAAACCCCACAGTTGCTGACTTGGGGCCACAAAATGTATGCTTGAGAAGAGATTCTCTATGGAAAGGATTAACCTTGCATTCCCACACGTCACAAAGATACCCTGGGTCAGAAAATGAAACTTGTCTTTGTTGCATCTGACCTCAAACAAATGGTACCCAACATATCCTGCTAAAGCTACACTGGGCTCATTACATCAGTAGGTACAAAGCTGACTCAAAGTGATGCTTTTTTACTTTTACCTTTCTGCATTGAAGTGTTTGACTCAGCTTCTCCAACAAGCGCTCCAGATGGGCATAATGAATTGCTTCATCTTCATCCCTTGGTCCCACAGCAACACAGAGAACATCCTAGGGTAAAAGGACAACAGTGACTCATCCAACACAGGATACTTCTCACTTCAACAGTGAGATCAAAGACTGCAGAAAAACTGATTTACAAACGTTTCTTAAATCTCACAAAAACAAAGTCATGAAGTTAGAAGCCTCTCTGTTTACAGGCAGGGGAACGGAAGCAGATATATTAAGGTCAGAGTTTTCAAACCTGAGTGCCACTTACATAAAAAGTTTAGCAACATCAAAAAGAGCTGCAAGTGAACACTGGGCAATATGGCAAAAGGCTCCCAGCACCCTTGCAAATCATCACTCAAATTTAAAAAGTTTAGGCCTAAGTAATTTGCCAAAGGTCACAGAGGGCACTTTTCCACGTGCTACAATGCGTTGATTAGAACATCTCAGAACAGATTTGATAAGCTAAAGTGTTCCAATCAGAACAGTCCAACGTGCTGCAGCGTCTTGCGTATTCAGTGTCCCATGTTTCAAAACAAGCTTTATTTAAAGTGCCCCTACTGCCATTCTGAAATGCAGGACACTGAATACGCTGCAGGCTTTTGCATTAGAGTGTCTCCCAAGAGCCACTCTAATTAAAACGCACCCCCCTCACCTCCTACCCAGGAGCACGTGTACCGGCACCCAGAGTCGGTCAATAGTACAGCAGGTACAGGTCTGACTGCCAGCCCTGGGTTGTTATACTTTCTGCCCTGCCATTAGACTGAACACACCATTTTCACAAGGAGTTTCAGACCACATGTAAAAAGCAAGGATGCAACATTAACTGGTTGGTCCCAAGGATCCAGACTTCTCTAATGCTAAACAAGATTATTGCATAATGTCACAGTGATTTTCAAACAGAAGCTGAAACCTGGAATAAAAAAACTATAGGGCAGCACACCACGTAGGAGGCACAGAAAGAGCTGTATAATAGAACTTTAAAAGAACTGTCGCACCAAGTAACTCCAATTTCAGCTCTATGCAAGGTAAAGATTTTTAGAAAAGAATTAAGCATTCAGAAAACTTCCCATAATTTTTTTAGAATGTCATTGAAGAAAAACACTGTTTGAAAGGAACACATTCTGCTTCAGATTTTGCAATCTAAGTATTGCAGAAATCGTACTACTAAGCAGCAAACTGATGGGAATCACCCCAGACAGCCAGCTGTTTCATGTACTTAAATTTCAAACTGGACAATTAAATAAGCAGAAATCATAAAAAGAGAATTTTATAATTACTTCATTTTGACTAAGTTCAGGTGTTGGTGATACAGATTGGTATTAGGTATTTTCATTATAACAGTTGCCAGCAACCTTTGCAAGCTGTGGGACAGAAGAACTTGGCTCCTAACATGGTGGCTTCCATGGTGCGTCAGTGGCGGGGCCGTCCCCTGCACGCTGGGGCTGGGCAGCTGGAAGCTGCATCCTCGCTGCTTCTGATTGTGTGCCACAGCTGTGGGTGACAGGGAGAGGGGGTTTGGGAGAGCAAAGGCAGCATGGATACAACTTCCAGCTCCTTGGCCCTGCTCTCCACCACCAGCTGAAAGCTGTGCCCGCAACACAGCCAGTGGCGAGAGGTTAGAGCGCAGGGGAGAAGAAACAGCTGGGGCAAGGGGGCAGCTGGGAGTTGCCCATTTCTGGTGCAGCTCCTTGTTGCTTAGCCCCAGTGCAGGCACAGGCGAAGTCCTGGGCTCTGGAGGGTAGATTCAGAGGCTCCATAGGCTGGATCCAACCTATGGGCTATATGCTGTTGACTCCTGCATTATATGATTTCTAAGAAAACCACACCCTTTCAAGCTTGGGAGAGGAGTGATAGGACCAGGATGCATTTTATATTTGTTTTGAAAAGGAGGCACTCTGGACCCCAGGCTGAAATCATGCTATCCTTCCTCCTCCTTTGCTTGCAATCTTAAATTGAATCAAGTGGGGGAGGCAGGAAGATAAAACTCCACAACAGATTTGCAGGACATAGTTGACTGCAACTCAGAATACATTCTCTTGACACACAAGGTAAAACAGAATCCATCTAGCTATGAAGGGCTAACAGGACTAAAGAACAGGAAATACTTATTTTTTTAGTCACTCAAGTCAGCAGATCCAACTGAAGAAAGACACCAGCTCTCACACCCTCCAAGCAAGCGAAGTCATTTGAGGATTCCCCCACCACTTACATTCTATTTCTTTCTCATACCCTACCAACAAACCACAATAAGCGCTATATTTAAAAGGGCTCCAGGAACCATTAGGCTGATCCCTAAGCAACCACTAGAAGGAATTGAGCAGCACAGCTTCTTTGTTATAACTGTAATAGTTCAGTTTTACTCAAGGGGGGAAGTAAAAAATAAAAGCACCAGGGGACAATGGAGGTTCCATACTTTGATCTCATTGATTATTTCAGAGGGAAATGGAGCATGATGCTGGCATCCTGGAGGGCAGTCCTTTTTCATCTCCTGTGTATCCTCACTAGGTAAGGAAGGACCCTGGATTTTCAGCATTCGACTGAATGTGGTCCTCACTTCCCTTTTGATCAGTACTGTAAAGCACAAAAAAAGAGAACAGTGGTGGTTAACTCAGATCTTCTCCACAGGGAGATGGTTCCCAGACACCAAAGCCTGAAGTATTCCTTCTACAACTTCCTCCACTGAGGGGTACCTCGGGGCCAGTACAAGTAAGGAATGTGAAGTTTAGGCTGACACCTGCACTTCAGGTTCCTACGCCTCCTTGTAATCATAAGGGCAAAAATGAAAAGGATACTCCAGGACACAGTATGTTGAATCACTATCTAGCCAATCTCTTAGCCCTTTATCAAAAGACTTCAGCCAGGAGACAAATTAGTACCACTGTTTGGTACTACTTACATTAGGAACCTGAACCAGTGCAACTGTACCTGCTTAACCACCAGTTTTAGAGTATCTGTGAACATATTCTGAACCAAGGGAATTTTGTCCCGCATCCAAACTAAAAGTTAGTTTAACCCACTTTAGCAGCAAAGGTTGTTGGGTATTTGTCACAGCTCAGAATCAGCGGCTTCTAGGAAATTCCAAAGGGCCACCAGTGCACTGTGAGACTGACTGAAAGTATCTGAATCCAATCAGCACTAAACCCATACAAACTAAAATGGCTCTAATTAAACCAATCTTCAGGGCTGCTGAAAGCAAATCCAATCCACGTGGTATTTTGCATATGTCGTTAAGATAACTTGCGTGCATGGACCCAAATTATAAGCAGGCTGGGGGGATCCAAGCAGTTCTTAGCATTAAAAATGTCTAGACTGTAGCCTGGGTGATGCTCTTGGAAAAAGTGTCCAATATTGTGGGCACCTGCAACCCTGAAGTAACTTAACAGCCTAAAACACCCTGCAACATCAACCCAAAGCTTGAAAATCAGGCAAGAAAAGAGGAAGTGCATGCTTCTGACAAGTATGCCAGCAAGAGCCTAAACTTCACAATACTAGACTAGAGACTTTCCCCTGATCTCAGAAAGGCACCTGACCCCATCCTCAAATGAGGTGCAGCGCTAGTGCAGAAACTAGAGACTGACCTGTGATGTTGGTGGAGAGCCAGGTGCATGCCTTTTCAGTAGCCAGCCTCACTGCAATATCCTCTGCACTGCTCAGGACCTTTGGGATGGAAAACAAGCAGCATTACAGTTAACACCCCTGATGATACTGGGCCAAGACAGACAAGAAAATAAAACTTTCTAGGGAAGCGACTTCATTCAATAAACAACACTCAGAGTAAGCTCACATCTCTCCCCATGATCTCAAAGGGAATAGGAACATGCTCACTGGAAACTAACATCTCAAAATGAAGGGAAAAAATTAAGTACTTTTAGCAGCTCCAAGTAAATCCCATTCATTCTGGCAGAATCTGGTACTAGAAAGAGAAGCTTCATTCCAAAAGTTCTAAGACTGAACCCAATCTTAGATGTCTTATTGGGATAAGCCTGTTAGAGGATGTCTGTTTCTGTAGTCCACAACACACAAGGAGTTATGTAGTTAGCATCACATCTGACCATTTTTGAGTCTCCTTAGCCCACAGGATCAAGTATCAGTCTACAATGGGTTAACTGGGACAGCCTTTGCCATAAGACCAGAGTGAAGATCAGATTTGCACTTCTGTCATAGCAAGACACCTCACCTGTTCTGCCACCACATCACTAATTTAATCACATGAATGTCATATAAATTAATTCTAATTAATATATCACTAATTTCAGGGGCTTGTTAACTCTGAAGTCAAAGACAACAGTCACAGAATCACAGAGAAGCAGGGCTGGAAAGGACCTCCAGAGGTCACCTAGTTCAACCCTGCATGAGGCAGGACCATCCCTAACCAAACCATCTTATACAAATCCACTGTCTAACTTATTAGTAAAACTACACAGTCAACCCCAACACAACTACAAGACATAACATCATAACCTGCCACAGGTAAAGCAGGTGGACCACCATGGTCAATATCCTGCTGCCGCAAAGTTCATCAAATTATACTTGAGACATCCAAGGAAGAGGGCCACACTACCCACTGCAGAGGAAGGCAAGAACCCCACAGTCTCTACTAATCTGACTGTAGGGCAAAATTCCTTCTCGACTCCAAATACAACAGCTGTTCTTACCTTGAATGGAGGAGCACATGCAGTAGCAAGAGGGAAAGCAAAAATCTTTTCCAACCCTACATGGAAACTAGCAAAGCCTAGACGCATGGGAAATATCTACAGTAGAGCATAGGCATAGACATCATCCATGACCAATGCTTATCCAGCCTCTTCTTGAGTATCTCCAATGATGGAGACTCCACAACTTTTCTAGGCAGTCTATTCTACTGCCTCACTATTGTAATAATGAAGTTTTTCATGATATCCAATCTAAACTTACTTTACTACAACTTTAAGCCCTTGATCTGTGTCCTGGTCTCTGAAGCAAGAGAGAAAAGGTGTTTTTCCCTCTTCTTTATGGCAGCCCTTTAGAAAATTGAGGACTGCTATCGTGTCCTGTCTTAAGTACCTTTTCTGTAAGCTGTAAACACCTATTTCCTTCAACTTTTCCTCATGACTTGCCTTCCAAGCTTTTTATCATTATTGTTGACTCTCTCTAACTTTTCCATGTCCTCTTTAAAAAGTAGAGCCCAAAACTGCACACAGTACTCTAGATGAGTCCTAACCAGTACCAAGTAAAGAAGCACCATCACCTCCCGGGTCATATTTGTGCTGATGCAAAAAAACTTCAGCTACATCACACTGCAGACTCATACTGACTCTGTGATCTACCAAGACTACCAGATCCTTCTCTGTAGTGCTGCTATCCAGCCAGGTGCCACCCAGTTTGTATGTGCAAACAGTAAACTATTTTGCTGTTAACCCATTTTGCAGAAATATGCCAAAATGACCTGATGGGAATAGTGTTCTGAACCCTTCCTCCACTTCCAAATGATTTTAGGTCAGTGTGTCCACAGATCATATCACTGAAGTTTACAAGTGGCAACAATAGATATACAGGGATATTAATAAGGACCTGAAGTCAAGGCCTTTATTAAATGTGGTACATACAGCTGCAGATGTCTCTTCTGGCAGCAGAACTCTCACAGCTTCAGGACCTTTCTTCCTGCAAAATCTGCAAACAAAAAAAATGGCAAAGAATGTGTACTGCAGTGTCAAGGCTCTACAGTGATAGTCAAGGACATTTATTCCTGCACGAACTTCTATATGTTCCATTATGCTTCACTGCCTGGGACAGCATAGCAATGCCAAAACTCAAGGTAGGCAAGAACCACGTAAGCAAGACTGAATTCCAAGCAGCTGACCTAACACTACTCAAAATTCTTTGCTCCCTTCCCAGAAAAGGGAAAAGTACAAGAAATAGAGCCGAGGCACACTGTTCCACACATCCTCTACAACCCCCTCCAATAAGTAAGTGCAGGGGTGGGCAAAATACAGCCTGCAGCTGGATCTGTCCCACAGGCGGGGAACCCACCATTTAAGTGCATCTGGCCTGATGGGCAGCTGCCGATGCTGCGCTCTGCATGGGGCCGAGTCCTGCCCACTCCCACCTGGGGCAGTGCATGCTGCGCTCCCCATCTTTCCCCACCGAAGGGCCCCAGCCATGGTCAGCGGGCATAGCTTCTAGGCAAGGCTGCCACTGTTGTAGCTGCCCAGGGACCTGCTAGACACCCCTGGGCTCCAGCAAATCCTCCTCCTGTCCCTGCTGAAGCACTCCAGGCAGCAGGTAGGGAGGGGAAGCTGCAGCGCTGCAGGGAGTGGGGGGCAGGCTCTGCCTACAGCTTGCTTTGGTCCTGTTCATGAATGGTTGGGTGGGAGAGAACTTGGATGGAGGGGTGGGGTGTGAAGAAGCTCGGCTGCTCACAAAACCCTGCTGGGCAGGCATGGGACAAGCAGGTGGGGTGGAAGCAGCAGCAGCAGGAGCCAGCATGGGCTTGGTTACAGATCTGCCAGGTAGGCATGGGACAGGCAACAGCTGCAGGAGCCACCAGTGCAGGCTCAGCTGCAACCCAGCTGGGCAGGTGTGAACAGAGACCAAGAGAGCCAGCGATGCCAGGCACAGCTCCCTGCCCCCCACAACTCTTCCTAGGGGGCTTGCCTTGCTGCCTGCTGGTGGCAGCTGCTTTCCTGCCCCTTTGCAGCACACTGCAAGCCAGACAGGCAGTGCTGATCCCCTTCCCACTCCCCACACCTGCAGGGGCTGGGCTCAGCCACATCAGAGTGGGCAGGGGGGAAGCTGGGTTGGAAGGGGGAGCCCCCCCAACCACACACACAGTCACAGACCAATGACATGATTGGAATAACAGAGACTTGGTGGGACAGTTCGCTGGACTGGAGCACTGTCATGGGTAGGTACAAACAGGTCAGCAAGGACAGGCAGGGGAGAATAGGAGAAGGAGTTGCACTTTACAAAAAAGAGCCATATGATTGCTCAGAACTCAAGTATGAAACTGGAAATAAGTCTGTTGAGAGTTTCTGGGTTAAGGTTAGAGGTGACAGCAACAAGGGCAATGTTGTGGTGGGGGTCTGCTATAGACCAGAAGTGGCAGATAAGGCTTTCTTCAAACAGCTAGTGGAAGTTTCCCTGATCACAAGCCCTGGTTCTCATGGGGGACTTCAATCACCCTGACAGCTGCTGGGAGGACAATACAGCAGTGTGTGGGCAAGCCAGGAATTTTTTGGAGAGTGCTGGGGACAACTTCCTGGTGCAAGTGCTGGAGCAGCCAACTAGGGGCCATGCTCTTCTTGACCTGCTGCTCACAGACAGGAAAGAATTGGTGGGGTATGCAGTAGTAGATGGCAACTTGAGCAGCAGTGACCACGAAATGACTGAGTTCAGGATCCTGAGGAAAGAAAGGATGGAGAGCAGCAGAGTAAGGATGCTGGACTTCAGAAAAGCAGACTTTGACTAACTCAGGGAACTAATGGGCAGGAGAATGGGGGAAGCAACCTTGTGATAGAAAATGCAGAAAAGGCTGAAGTGCTCAATGCCTTATTCACCTCAGTCTTCGCAGGCAAGATCAGCTTCCAGACTACTGCACTGGGCAGCACAGCTTGGGGAGAAGGTGAAAGAACAGGTTAGGGACTACTGAGAAAAGCTGGACATATACAAGTCCAAGGACAGGACAGTATGCACCCAAGGGTGCTTAGGGACTTGGCTGACGAGACTGCAGAACCAGTGGCCATAATCTTTTAAAACTCATGGCTATCAGAAAAGGTCCTGGATGACTGGAAAAGGGCAAACATAGTGCCCATATTTAAGGAAGGGAAAAAAGGCTGCTCCAGGGAACTACAGACTAGTCAGACTCACCTCAGGCCCTGGAAAAATCATGGAGTAGATCCTCAAGGAATTAATTTCTAAGCACTTCGAGGAGAAAAAGGGAATTAGGAACAGTCAACATGGATTCACCAAGGGCAAGTCATGCCTGACCAACCTGATTGCCTTCAATGATGAGGTAACTGGCTCTGTGGATGCAGGGAGACAGGTGGATGTGGTATACTTTGATTTTAGCAAGGCTTTTGATATCGTCTCCAACAACATTCTTGTAGGGAAGCTAAGGAAGTACAGGCTGGATGAATGCACTGTCAGGTAGGCAGAAAACTGGTTGAAGCATCAGGGTCAGAGTGTAATAATCAATAGCTCAATGTCTGACTGGTAGCTGGTATCCAATGGAGTGCCACAGGGGTCAGTTTTGTCCAATTTCTTCATTAACGACCTGGAAGATGGCAGAGTGCACCCTCAGTAAGTTTGCAGATAACACCAACCTGGGGGAGCAGTAGATACACTGGAGGTTAAGGCTAGGATTCAGAGTGACCTGGACAAATTGGAGGATTGGGCCAAAAGAAATCTCATGAGGTTCAACAAGGACAGGTGCAAAGTCCTGCACTTAGGATGGAACAATCGCACGCACCAGTACAGGCGGGGGCTGGCTGGCTGGGCAGCAGCTCTGCAGAAAAGGATAGTGGACAATAGCTGAATATGAGCCAGAGGTGTGCCCTTGTTGCCATGAAGGTTAACAGCATACTGGGCTGCACTGGTAGGTGTGTTGCCAGCAGGTCAAAAGAAGTGATTATTCCCCTCTATTCAGCACTGGTGAGGCCACATCAGGAGTACTGTCCCCCGTCTTGGGCTCCCCACTACAGAAAGGATGTAGACAAACTGGAGAGTCCAGAGGAGGGCAACAAAAGCAGTGAGGGGGCTGAGGGACATAACTTATGAGGAGAGGCTGAGGGAACTGGGCTTATTTAGTAGAGGAGACAGAGGGGATTTAATAGCAACCTTCGATTACCTGAAGGGAGATTCAAAAGAGGATGGAGCTAGACCCTTCTTGGTGGTGGAAGATTTCGTGGGTTTCATAGACACTAGGACTGAAGATCATCGAATCCAGCCCCCTGCCCCAGGGGCAGGAAGTCAGCTGGAGTCATAGGATCTCAGCAAGAAAAACATCCATATTCCTCTTGAAGGCATTCAAAGCAGTTGCTTGAACCACCTCTGGCGGCAGGTTATTCCAGACCTTGGGGGCCCAGACAGTAAAGAAGTTCTTCCTTATGTCCAGCCTGAACTGGTCTTGCAGGAGTTTATAACAGAATAAGGAGCAACGGTCTCAAGTTGCAGCAAGGGAAGTTTAGGTTAGATATTACGAAGAATCGTCTCACTAGGAGGGATGTAAAACACTGGAACAGATTACCCAGAGAGGTGGTAGAATCTCCATCCTTGGAGGTTTTCAAGACCTGGCTAGACAAAGCCTTGGCTGGGATGACCTAGTTGGGGCTGGTCCTGCTCTGAGCAAGGGATTGGACAAGATGACCTCCTGAGGTCCCTTCCAACCCTCATTTTCTCTGATTCTATGATCCACACCCCCACAACATGCTACACCCCCCCATGATACACAAGCAAGCCCCTCCCCTCCCAAAAGGGGAACTTCCCTGGGCAAGAGAAGAGACTTCTAGTAGCAAAGGTCAGGGATTAGGGGACAGGGCACCTGCCAAGGGGAGGGGCTACCCTTGCAGCCCTCCACACCTCACTAAAACATGTTAAGCAGCCCTCTTACCCATCCCTAAGAGGCATTAAAAAGTCAGCAGGGAAACAGCTTCAGTTACAAATGCAGTTAAGTATCAGTCCTGAGCCAAATCAAAGGCTGGTGTTTGAAAATACTGAAGTGCTTGGTGGCACCTCAGGTGTCACAAGACAAAGCCAGCACAGCACTAAGAATAGCACAGCAAAAAGGAAGATGAGAAATGAATAATTTAAGTAGCTTTTCCTTCTTACTCTCTGCCTTTGAGGAAAGCCTGTGCCCCTTCTTCATAAAGCTGAGTGCACACCTCATCCAGCAGTTTGTCATGATTAGTATTGTCCTCCTTCACTTTTTCCTGCAGCATGACCTCTGCCCTTTTGACAAGCTCTGCTACCAAAGTGGCCCTGAAAAAAAACAGTGTGATGGCAGATTGAACAAGTCTGAAATACAAACATGCAACCTGTTTTGAACCCTTTCATCCCCATTTTACTTTAGAGCATGAAAGAAACAGAACATTTTAGTTAAAAAGAACCAGTCACATGATATTTTGCTAATCTAACTATTCTGCATTGCCAAAGTTTCACTATCCCCAACCTCTTGAAGTTCACTGGAATTCAGTACCATGAAGTGTGCTTGAAGCAAAAACATTAATGAGATTCAAAAGGGACTGGGCTTTTATATCAGTAACAAAAACTTGTAGTTGGATAAGTATGACACATTCTAGGTAGCATATTCAGCCTAGTGTTTCAGGTGTAAAGGCAATCTCTAGTTATTAGCATTTAGGATGAGATTTGTTGCGACAGACATTATCACACATCTGTCTAGAATGCAGGCTTACTTGTACCAACATCAGATGCTGGCCACTATTAGAGATACGACACTGGATAAGAGATTGCAAGTCTGACTTAATACAGAAGTGCCTATATCCTATGGTTTTAGGTGCATGTAACCCAGAGTGAAAAGGGAAGCAGCTTTCTCCAGAAGATGCTAATAGAAACACACTTAAAATGCCTTTCTGCCCCAACTTTTTTATTTTTGCTTTGGTAATACTGAGAAAACTAATGTAGACAGGGCTTCAGACAGCCACGAGCACCCTCCTAACGCTAGTACAGCACGCTTGCATTTCAGAGCTTGGGTTGAGTCCCAGGCTTGAGATTTTCCTGTTTTGATTGGTGGAGCCCATCTACCAATCAGGAGGCAGCAAGAGGAGTTAAGTCATGCCCCTTTCCTGAGGGGAGGGGGAGAAGAGCTCTCCTAGACCTGACTGTAGACTGCAACACTATCAGGTCTGGAAGACTTCAGGGGCGAAGCCCTGGAGAGTATAAAAGGAGCTGCATGCCCAGCACGAATGGCAGAGGGAAGAGTGGGGTTTAGAAGAGCTGAGGAGAGCTGCTCAGCAGGACAAAGCAGCGGTCCAGAAGTGCCCCTGAAGATTTCCATCGGTGGGGAACAGCGGACAGCTCCAGCAGCTAGGCTCTCAGTGTGCAGCATGGTGCATGGCGTCGAGACCTTGGGAGCTGTGTGGTGGCCCAGGTCTGCAACCTCTGGCATGTGGCCAGAGACAGTGAATGGGCCAGTGCACGGAGCAGGATCTTTGGAGCACTTGGGCGGTTCAGGTCCCCAACCCCCTACATGATGCTGGGAGCTCAGTGCAGGAGGCGTGGCACGGAGGATCTGGGAGCAGACCAAGCCTGGTGCTGCACAAGATGACCCAGGCCACCAACCCATAGCAAAAGGTTGAGTCCAGGGAGCCAGATGGTGCTTGTGCTACTGAGTCAGCAGACAGGGCCGAGCCAGAGGCCCCAGAAGCCCTGCATAGTGGAGCCTGGTTCCAGGGGACAGCAACCCCCCGAAGCCCACAAGTGAGAGACCAGCTTGGTGCAGAGGACAAGGGCCACCCTCCAGGCCTGGTTGCTGAGTTGCAGGGAAAAAGGATTCCCGCAGGGGAGGGGGAGTCCCCCCTGGTTAGTTAAGGGCCCCTGAAAGTGGAGGTCCCACTGGGAGGGCCCCCCTGAAGTTACCAGCTTCCTTGAAGGGATTGGGAAAAAGCCCCAGGGCACTGGGGTTTCCCCTTGGGATTAAGTTTATCTTTGAGGTTCCAGTGCCATAAAGTGGTGTGATGTTGTGCCTTATATTTTGTGAACTCTCATGTTTGTAAATTAGTAGACGAGTAGAATCCTAGGGCTCTGCTGGGACCCACTTTTGCTATCATTTTATCTTTTGTTTATTTGTATTTATTTATGGCTTACTTATTGTTCACCTATATTTATCTATAGTTTATCTGTTGGCTATCTATGTTTACTTTGGGGTTTATCTGTTTCAGATCAGATACTTACCTGTGACATACCTGTATCTGGAGCACTGGTATAAGGTTTTATAGCATTTACCCAGAGGGTATTGTTTATGTTATTTGTTTAGATATCACATACACTATATATCTATATAGTACACATGTTTATATCCATGTTTCTTTTCCTTGTAATAAGTTAACGTAAAATAAATTTGTATATAGTTAAGTCCCCTGACTGTCCTGGCCTGGTTCTTTAGGGACAGAGGGAAACCGAGCAGTCTTCAGTTCCCCTACAGCACACCTGCCAGCTAACAATTCCCTTCAATTGGAGAAGGAGAGTATATACTTGAGTACACCTGGGCTATGGTAGCATTCACACTACTGTTACCACCAAGACTAGTAACAGGAGAGTCAGTTTAGTGTAGACAAAGCATTACAATCGTGTAGGAATATACCAGCTAACATGGTCTACGTGAAAGGAAACTGAATCATTTCTGACTCCATCAAGCAGGGAGGAAGAAGCTTTAGGGCAGGATCATCGCTGCTTTTCGCAAAGTACCTAGTACAGTGGGGTTCTTGCCCATGAGTGGGACCCCTAGGAGATATAATTTCTGCTAGCTATGTCCAAAAAGTCTGTCTGAGCTGCTGAACTGTGGTGTCCAGATTTATAAAACCATCTGCCTAGAATCTGAGAACTTAAATAGTGGGAGTTTCAACTCAGTCATCTGGGAAGTACTGTTACCATCTCTGCTACATCTACAAGGCAAAATTAAGCAAGTTGTGTTCACAACGCAGGACATGGGAGTCACCCAAAACATGTGGCATAACTCGCTCAAGTTTTGAGATACCTGTAAAGATATCCACAGTAGGGAGCGAATATTGTCTACAGAGGTCAGAGGATGGCAGAAAGGAGACAGCAGCAGCACAGATCTCTAGTGGACAGGCCTTTTTTGTTCTACTTATTACTTACTACTACAAATCCCCTTCCATCCGAGACAAATGGCACCATTTTCACAAGCTTAAATGAGAATTCTACAAAGACTAGATTAGTCCAGAATGACTTAAAGCCTTTAGCATCAATCAAATTTAGACTGCACACAGTCTACTAGGGAGGCCAGAACAATAGTCCCCCAAGCAACTGAAAACCTGAGTCTGGCCTCAAAGGATTAAAACCAGCTAAGATGACAGCATTTTTCAGAAATATGCGCCCAAGCACTTACTTGATATGCTTAACACAGTTGGATCCCACCCTCTCTGCCACAAATTCCACTGTTCTCCGCAGTGATGGGGGCTGATTGTGGAAGAAGGCCTGCTCCAGCTCTGCCTGTTCAGGAGGAAGAACAAGAGCTATGAAGAGACCAGGACTCTCTACAGAGATGATCTTCTCTACACAGAAACAGACCTGAAATTTAGTTCTGTGTACAATGCACAACAGGGCCAAAGGCCCACAGTTCTGTCTCTACCAAGCATTTTGCTATTACAACCTTTGGTAATACCTGTAAAATACCTATGCCCAATTTTATGCTCACCATTTAGTGCACAGCTTATAGATTTTGTCTTGTAAGAAGGTGTAAAAAAATAGGTGACTGGTAAAGGAGGAAGAAAGGAATGTGGCTATTTCTCCATTCAGAAAGCAGCACCTTTTCACACCAGGCTACTGTAAGACTTAATGAGCAACTTTTAATGAGCTGTTCAAAAGGAGTGCTGCTTTCTGAGGTAAAAGATACCCTTTAATTACAGGATGGACACCTCTACACACTCACAGAATGCTTGTCCTTTCAAGGGACAGGTACAGTGGAATCAGAGCAAAGAGAAAGAAAGTCAGGGCTAAAGAAGAGACAGGAAGAAAAGATATGGATGGGGCAGAAGGAATCATCTGTGGGTTCAAGAGTTAAACATATACAAAAGACTCGCAGGGATGTGTATTCAGGTTCTCTGCAATTTAGTGCGCACACAACATCACAGGATTTAACAGCTAGATAGCAGGGTCAGTCATCCTTCCTCTTCTAGCTGTTAAACAAGAGAACCCCTGCTGTCTATGCCTGTGTTTTTCTTTCCATAGTTTCAGGCCATCACTGTGCATCTTGCCATTTTATAAACACTCTCTCCTTTTGTGACTCCACTGTGAAAAGCCATGACTATGCTCAGAGCAGTCTCACCATGTGGTAACAGAGAGCAGGCATCTGTCTTGGGCAAGCAGCCAGCACACTGCCCCTCCCTGTTCACCTACCTGCAGTTTCTGCTGTGTGACAGAAGGTTTGGGTGCCAAGGACTCTGCAGCTGTTGGGGTTATTTTCCTTATAAAGCCACCATTCTTTGCTCCGCTGCCTGCCACAAAGGAGGCTAGCAGCTTCCGCAGCTCACCTGTAAAAAGAAACAGGTGTAAACACCCTTTCTGACATACAAAGTCAGAACTACAGGGTAACAGATCCAGACGGGCAGAAAAAGTCAAGTAGTCAAGTAATTAGGTTCCCAGTCTACAGCAGGCTCTGTAAAACCCCAACTTTAGTAACAGTTGACAAAAGTAAAAGTTGGGAGCAGGGAGAGACTGCACAATTCCAGCATATCCCAGAGGAAGGCCAGACAAAAGCTTCCTACCCTTGGAGGCAGCAGACGACAGGAAAACAGAAAATTCTTCCTATCACTCAACAGTGACCCATAAAAAGAATTACGAAGCAGTGGCTTTGAAGGTTCCCAGCCTAATCATTCATCAAATGGTGGGATGAAAGTGGCAGCTATGCAAGATCCACCATGGTGGTGGGAATGGAGAGTTCCAACAGGGCTACAAAGAGAATGCCAGGGGTTGAGCACAGCAAAAAGGATTTCAAGTCCTTCTGCATGAAAGACTCATCAGCAGTGGGAGTCACTGGACTGACATACAACTTTCTCTCCAGCCAGATCCACAAGCACAACACAGCCTCAGGAAGCTTCTCCTTCTGCTTTAAGTATTTGCTTCCAAACTAACCCTAGCTCTTCACATTGGCCAAATGGGCATCCTCCACCACATCAGGTCCTGACGGCCTTTCAGTAACCATCCATTTGGGGATCGAGCCACCTTCTTCATCCAAACCCTTCCTCCTTTGACACACAGCATAGGGAAGTCTGGCATTCAAGTTTCCTTCCATGGTAGAGAACCACGGTCCCTGTCTCCCTGCATACCATTCACATTGCAAAGGCAGGACAGCCAGTCCACAGCCTTCTTATCTCCTTTCACAGGATCATAGAAAATTCGGGTTGGAAGGGACCATCCCCAACTATATCATCCCAGCCAAGGCTTTGTCTACCTGGGTCTTAAAAACCTACAAGGATGGAGATGCCACAACTTCTCCAGGTAGCCTGTTCCAGTGCTTTACTACTTTCCTAATGAGACAGTCTTTCCTCATATTTAACCTAAGCTTCCCTTGCTGCAACAAATACCTTTGCAGGTACTTATGTCTTTTTTTTCATGACTTGATTTATCACCAAGGTCAGTGATATGACTGAGGTTCAAAGTGGATGGGGATGGGAAAGAAAAGTGATCCAAGGACTCACAGTACCAAAAAGGGCTGGGATAAACATCTATAAAATACTCACCAAGATATGGACAGCAGGTATAAAGTAACTGCTGATCCACCAAAGTTGCAGAATCCTGGCAAATGAAGAAAAGGAGGGTTGAAGGACAGCTGCAAAAGGAACATCATCTTTAGAAGATCAGAAATCTTATGCATCTCACAGATATCTCAAGGCACTTCATCAAAAGAAATAATGCAGCCAAGTTAAATTCCAAATCAAGTGCTTTTGAAGCAAAACAAATTCTAAAACCTAAGGACCCAATTGTGCCTGGAGATGCATGATGAACAGCTCTGCATTTCAGAGATTTGGTATTGCATGACCTTTAGTTATAAACTCCAGACTCAGCTGAGAGCAGATGTCTGTCAAAAGAGAAAAAGAAACCCCAGTATAGGAATGCCACCCTACCAGCAATGACTGGGGAAGAGTTGACACGGGAAAGAGGATAAACAGGACATGGCCCACACAAAGAATTACAGCTCCATGGATACTTCTACCATGACTCAGTCAAGCCTTTCAGGACAGAGGACTACTGAGTGATGGGCCCCATTGTTATGTCTTAGCCAGAGAACATGGGGATTAAGGGGGAAACTGCAGATTTTTGTCAGTGTAGCTGGTATATATTGAACACATTTCAAAAAGGCTGAAGTTCATGACTATTTCCTCCCCACTGCTGGAAAAGCAACTGGCACTTGCTTAATAACAGGATGCACATATATGCTGGCTAGCATGTTCATCCTGATTCTGGGAGAAGGAGCATGCACCTTCTCTAGTGGAAACAACATTAACCCCTAATGCTGTGACAAGTTAGAAGCTCCCTCAAATGCGGGCAAGGGGAAGGGAGGAGACCTGCCAAATACAAACATGTGGAGTATTACTTTTACTCTGAATGGGTTTTTTTGTCTTGAAGCTACTGCTCTTTTTATAATGCCCAACAATAGGACCTTGCCCCCACTGCCCCGTGAGAACTGTCTGCTAACAGGGGAACACAGGAAGATCAGTTATTACCAGAGTACAGGGAGAAGCAGAGTGTGCTGGGGGTAGGGACACAAATGCAGTGTGGCTATGGGTCATTGTCCCTGAGAGGAGGGTAGAGGTGAAACCAATCACTAGGAGGAAATTGGAGGAGGCTACAAGGTGTCAGTATGAGGGTAATGACACTGAAGTCATCACTTTAACTATACCTTACTGATGAGCTTGTGTGCTGAAGAGAGTTTTTCAGAAAACCTCAATAAAGTCAAATACATCAAGGAGTTCCTGACTAATCTATTTTCCCATACCCTCAGATACTCTGGGTTAAGTGTAGCAAAGGTCCTTTTGTAAATCAATCTAAATTCAAGCAGTTTCACCTCAGATGGAACTTGAACCCACAGCCCCTGGCTCCAGAAACCAGTGCCTGAGAATAGGGCCATGATTCAGAATGATCTTGATAAATTAAAGAAATGGTATGAAATGAATCAAATGAAATTCAACAGCAAGTGCAAAGTCCTGCACTTGGAGCAGAATAATGGCATGTACAAATACAGACTGCAGAATGACTGATTAGGCTACAGTACTGCAAAAAAGGATCTATGGGTTACAGTGAACCATAAGCTGAACATAAGCCACCGTGTCCTCTTGCTGCAAAAAAGCCAGCAGGATACTAGGTTGCATTAACAGGAGTGTCACTTACAAATCAAGGGAAGTGATTCTTCCACTCTATTCAGCGTTGGTGAGACCTCACCTGGAGCAGTGTCCAGTTTTGGGTCCCACAGTTCAAGAAAGATGTGGACAGATTGGAAAGAGTCCAGTAGTGACTAAAAAATCATTAGACAGCAGGGAAATATGCCTGAAGAAAACTGGATTATTTGTTTGGAGAAGAGAAAACAAAGGAGGGTAACAGACTTCAAATACCTGTAGGACTGTTATACGGAGGATGAGATAGGAGTTGATCCCCCAACACAGATTTACTTGAGTTCTCTATACTCTGTTTCTGTTCTGTTCATCATTCCTAGCATTATGAAACAAGCTGTAACTCTGGACTGAGGATATGCTTGCAGCAACACCTCATCATATTCCAGCAACACCTCATCTCTGTAAAACACCATCTCATTACAGGTGGTGCATGCTTTTTCCAGTTAGTGTCATTCTGGCAGTGCACCAAGAACCTCTGAGGTCTAGTCTGCAGTGCAGTCTGACTGCTCAAGCAAACTGCAGCTTTATATAGTTTCCATATTCATCACATCTGCACTGAAGACAAATCGCTGCATACAATGCTGCAATCTACAGGCTTCATTTGCCCCGAAATCTTCCTTGCTGGATCCATGAGACTGCAACTATCAAAGCAGTTATTTTCATACCAGCTTACCAAGGCCTGAGCAGATGACATAGCATCCATCATCAATCCATCCTGTTTGACTTCACTGGTAAAGAACAGCTCCTCTGGGACAGAGGGGATCTGGAACAGAAACCATGAAGAATTATCGTTCCATCAGGTGACTAAAACACCCATCTCAAAAACAGTAGTCAGAGAAAATTTTCCACTTTTAAAAAATTATATAGAACCTGGCATACTGAGGACCTTCTATTCTCCTATATTTGTCACCCCACCACGACCTCAACCCCCAAGGCCACATGTAGCATCTTTCCGCATTTCCCAGCCACCCCAGTTTCCCCACACTTGGAGTCTTTAATTTATATCTATCTCCAGCAAATTTACAGAAACACTCTAATCAAGACATGCTTCTCCCAGGTGAAAATGCATTGAGGTCTCCATCCTCCTCCTATCTTTATTCAGCCAAAGAAGTATTCTGTTGATTAAAGCAAGGCACTGCCACTTTCCTACAGCACTTAATACAGTAAATTTTCAGTACTAGACTACTTCCAGCTTTAGTGGGAATTAACTGGGAAGTTTTGTCCTTAAGGAAAAACACCTTAAGTATAAGGATGAAAGCTATAAGGTTTTACAGAAATTAATTATGGGATGTATTTGACAGTGAAATCTTCTACAAGAGTTCTAGGGGGAAAACATACAAGATGCAGAGCAGGAGTATAACTCAAATTACAGCATGTTTGATACTGTGCAAAGGATTTTGGTTCTTTTTATTTTGTCACATTTTTCTATTTTTACCTCATTTCAAAATTTAATCATTTTTTTCTACTGAATTCAGTACAGTTGCACCTTCAGAGCTCAGCCATTTACCATCTCTAGGTACGATACCTGAAAAAGCCAACCCAACACTGCAAAGATCAACAGCTTGTTTAGGAAACTCATCTCCTTATCTTCAGAGGGTACCATGGACCTGCCATACAGAGAGGGTAGTGGAAAACAGAGTTAAACTGCAGCTACTTTATTTTAAAAAGGTATGTCCAGTAACACTATAACTTCTTTTAAGATTCTCTATTGTTCTGACTTGTCCTCTAACCAGTCTACTTTAGCCATTATGGAAGTGTTTCTCATTCTCTGTGTAGGTGCGCACATGTCTATCTGTATATTGTACTGTGCATTTGAACTGAAGCAGCCAGAGTTGGGTGGCATCTATTTTTCTGGAACAAACAAAATGGGAGTATCTGAGCAATGGGAAAACGTTGTGGAGGGGCTTAATCTCAGGGCTGAATTCTGCAGTTACAAGGGCACAAGCACTTTGCAAGTGATTTGGGAAAATGCATTTTTTTGTAGTGGGGAGGGGTCGATAAAAAAAAATGCATCTTTAACCCCTTCAGCTTGGGATGGACTACATTTCAGGTCTGTGAGTTTCTTACTGCTTACCATATTTACTCAAATAGAAGACAAAGTTTTTCGCCCCATCTTACATTCACATACAAGGAAGCCCCACTAAATACATTGTATCATTAAACTGCAACTAAAAGCAGCATGTACTCAGTAATGGAAGCCAACTATGAAGTTGATTAAAATGCAGCTAACACTGAGTGTGACTACAAAACACATGACCCATGTTGGGCAAACTTTGTTTTTTAATTATTATTATAGATTTTATGTTCCAATTCAAATTAGCCAAATCAGTTCCAAATCATATCAATTGAGCAGAACTCAATTTTTCCAAAAACCATATCAATTGAGCAAGCAGAACTCAATTGTCCTAAACAACATGTATGGCGCTACAACCGGCAAGCATCCTTTGCCACAGACTCTCACCCTGGGATTTCAGGCATCCTACATGCAGGCCCAAGCCCGGAGGTCTTGGAATGCTGATGCCACAGCAAACATACCAGGTTAGTAGCACCGCCCATCTGAATAAGATATATGGTAACTGTCTATGAGCTCAGTCCCCCTCAGTGTGAACTATTTTTTCAGTTATGGTGAGCCACTGTACTGAATACATTTAAACTTCCTCTTCACTCCTACTGAGCTATACCTTTCCTTCCCATTTCCAATGAGTCCTGTTTTTTAACCAGCCACAAATGTCTGGCAATCATCACTGAACAGGGCCCTTACACAACTTACCAAGAATCCCTCTGTCACCTCCTCTCTCAGTCTGTTGTGTATGATTAGCATGGCCCTGCCCTCCAAGAGGTGGAACCAGATCAAGTTGTCCTGTGCCTCATCTCTACAAAATTTTTTGGAGCATCCTAGGACTTGTGACAAGAGAACCCAGTTCCAGTCACGAGCGGAGGCCAATTAACTCCCACAAAAGATCTATGTGCTATCTGGAGTACAAACGCATACTGGGCAGTACTGAGCTGTGGGGTCACAATGGCATGAAACACTGTCATCTCTGCTGCAGCACAACCCAATGAACTATATGGTAAACCACAAGCCTTTTGGCTTTGAACTAACATCATTCAGCTTGTGCTATATACAAGTAGGTATAGAAATGCTGCTTAAAAGTGTGTTTATGGAGTACTGGTGCTAAAAATTGCAGCAGTTTCAAAAGACGTAAACTGCATCAATTCTGAATGAACTAAGTCTATGGGTACCTGCAGTAATTTCCCTATATGCAAGTTACTGCAGGTATGTTTATTTCTAGGTTAGTGCTTTCAAATTTGCTTCTCACTCGCATATGCTCAGGGGCAGCAGGGTCTGACAATAAGGAAGGGAGGAAGGGGCTGCAGAGGGAAGAAGTTGGGGGAAAGGTGCCAGAGGACAAGGGGGATACCTGACCCTCCAGATTTATTTTTTCCTGCTGTAGCAGTGGGAAAGGGAACAATTCAAGGCAAACCTGCAATAATTAGATTCTATACTTGGAAAATTATAAAAAAAATTATAAATATTCAATATATAGAATCTAGTTATGGGGGGAAGGACATCTAATTCAGGGTCATCTTATATTTCACTAAATACGGTAGCATACAGGCACAAAATTGAGTTTTATAACATTCCCACCTGATGTCCAGCTTCTCATACATTGTCTTGGAAGAAAAGTGGGATGCAGTTAATCCCAATGAAGACATTCTCAAGAATGATGCAGGTATTCTTTCATGGGCTTACCTGTATACTTGCAGCAAGAGGGAAAATACTGTCCCATAGTAGTCAAGAAAAGGAGCAATATGATCTACGAGGGAGAGGAACTCCACAATCCAAGGTATAGTGAGGATAGTACGCTGGCCCTGGATAGATCGCTGCAGAAGTTTCAATACATCCAGTACAGGTAGGCTCTTGATGGGCAAAACATTTAAAATCAATTTGAGATACGGAAAGTTGGCTTCCAACTAACTTTAAGAAAAGTTCCATATCTACACTATGGCCTTTCTTTTAACGTAATTTAATTCTTTGTCCAGTTAAGTGGTTATGTACCAGATATTATGAACAATATCCTTCAGTGGCTAGAGGTTCAGCTATTAATAGCTACAAGACGCCTCAGTATAGTGCTGAGAAGGATGAACCCTGACTAAACACATAAGCGGTGGGAGAAAATATTATTTATGGGGGGCTGGGCGGTGCGGGGCATGCCTGCCTAACCCCCATCCCTCCCTCCCCCAGTTATTGAAGGGGCTGGCGCGTGCTGGATGTGCAGCAGCAGCGGAGCGCACGACAGGGGCACTGGGTGCAGCAGTAGCACTGTTGCCAGCTGCCGCAAAATTAGTTTCAAGGGGGGGCGGGGTCTAAGTCCTGTAAGCCCCAGCCTTCCGCCTCCTATGACTAGACAGCAGACTATTTGGGTTCAGTTCCTGTTGTCCTGGACAGCAAAAAGTGATTTGCATTCAGTGCAATACATTAGTAGTAGGGATTTGAATGCTGAGCTGAGATACTCTTTGAAACATTTTTGAGGGCCACACCTTACATACACAGTCTTTCCAGTAGAATTGAAGTGATGTTGTATCTTGTGGTCCAGAAAGTATGAGGAGCAAGAATCTGTGGGTATTGTCTTGTACTGGACCAAGTGCATGGCTGGGTCTCTCAGAGACCCAATGAAAAGTACTGTGATACCCAAAAGCCTGTCTAAGTCTAAACCCAACCAGACGGTTAATCCAATAAAAGAGACCACCCACAAAAAATCTTGCAAAAGTCTGTCCAGGTAATTCAGGACTTTGAAACACTAACCACAATTCAGAAATAGTATCAGTGGGTTAAGCACCACATGAGTGTCAATAACCCCTCCCTCCTTTCTATCACAAACACTGCCCCCTTGCCTTCAATACGGTATACTTATACAAAGCACAGAATAGTGCAGAACACCAACCCAGGAACTATTTCCATTCTAGGAAAGGATGGCTCCAGAGACAACTCTGCAACAAACCAAAAATACCTGCCAAGCAAAGAGCCCAGAAAGTCCCAGACTTTTCTATCAGGTCTCTGGTTACTTACTTGATTTCTTAATGCCACTGCAGACTCGTGCAAGTCTCTTGTTGGTGGCTCCACTGTGCGATATGGAAGGAAAACAAGAAATCCAAGAAATTTTGCCAGGAGCCGGAGGCTCATCAGGACAACGGTGAAACGTTTTTTCTCATCCTGAAGTCAAGAGAAGGAAAGCTTGATTGGAGCAACACAACCCTGAACTGAGAAGCAACAACCTACCTAAAGTCTCCACTGCCAGAATGGAAAACTAGGTCTCACAGCTGCTCTGCACCACTTTCCAGATACTTCTTTCCCGAGACCATTTTGAATGCTGGAGAGCTCCATTCATGACAGCAGTATACTAAGTAAGAACAGCCCTTCAACCATAGGAGACTCCAATCTAGACAGATACAGGTTTCATGTTGATAAGTACTGGAAGGAGCTCAAGAGAGAGGTGCTTATCTGGAAGTTACCTTTAAAAGTCCTGAGCAGGTGACTGAGTTATGGAAAAAGATCTCAAGTTTCTTCACACTTTTAAGGGGCAGTTGCATTCTACAATAATATTTCAGCTGACAAAGCCCAGGTTACAGCCTGAACAGCATTTTCAGCAACTACTATACTGTAGAGTTCATTGCCACAAGAAATGAAGCTAAGTCCCGCTCACACATTTCATCCCTCCCCTCTTTTAGAAAGCATCCCTTTAAACATATTGCCATTCAATGCTAACCATGACCAAGAGGCACTTCATTAAGAACTACCTGCCCATAAAAGCAATCTGAAATCAGTCAAAGGTGAGAGCTGGCTCCTTTAATCAGCAAAATGACAATTGGATACTGCAGTGATGTGTGCGCTGGAAGTAAGAGAGTGAGTGAGTGAGTACAAACATATATGACCCCTCCTGCTTCCACTACTGCACTGTCTAGTTGGGAGATGGTCCCAAATGATCATAAACAAACTGAAGCTCTTTATAGAAAGAGAAAAAAAAAGCTGCTGCTCAAACAGTCACACTTTCATAGTACTGTCTTTAACTAGAGCATCCTTCACTCCTCTGTTTCTGTCAATGTAGCAAAAGGTCTCAAATACATCAGCCCACATTTATCTCTGAACATTCACAGAACAGTGACTTATTGAAGACAACTTCCTCAGGTCCTCCGTGTATTGTGTGTCAATGGCTGCTGGGCCCAACTCAGTGCTGGCTCCAGCCACCTCTATTCCACCCAAAGAAACCCGTCACACGTGGCACAGGCATTCTCCAGGACAACTAGCAGTGACCCAAGGAGGGGCGGAGGGGGGGGAATCTAGCAGGTAAAAGTGGAGAAAGGTACCTGGGGAGTCAGATGTCAGGCAGGTCACAGTGCATCATAAATGCAATGCCTATATTGAGGCCATGAGTTTCTGTATCTAAGAGGTTGTTGAAATGAAGTTCATAAGCGCATCTTTGGAAAGAGTTTTGTAAATTCCCTTTGAAGATCAGGACTAAGAGACTGGAGAGAGAGTAGTTTTCTTGTGAGAAATGTGCCCCTACAGGTAGTTGGGTATTCCTGTCTGTAATAGATTTCCAGTGCGTATTCATTCTAGTGCACAGTTGCTGTTGGGTGTCTCCGACGTATTTTCCATCATGGCATTTGGTGCACTGGATGAGATATATAACGTTTCTGGAGGTGCAAGTGTAAGATCTAGGAATGGTGTTGGTTCTGTTGTGAGGTGTAGTCACTGTGGGGGGTACTGGAGATATGTTGGCAGGCTTTGCCTTTCTTCTCATGGCATGGTCTGGATCCATTTGGTGTGTTTTGGACTGTAGGAAGTTGGCTTCTGGTGATGAGGTTAGTGAGGTTCAGTGCTTGCTTGAATTTACAAACCACTTTTCACAGATGGGCTTATGAACTTCATTTCATCAACCTCCTAGATACAGAAACTCATGGACTCAATATAGACTAGATTTATGACACACTATAACCTGCCCCTCATCTGACTCCCCAGGTACCTCTCCACTTTTACCCGCTACATCCCTCTCCCCCTCCCAGCCTGTCACTCACCCCCGATGCCTCAATTTGCATTTTCACTGTCTGACTTACTTGCCTGCATCCCAGCCTCTGGCTTCTTTACTATTCCTTCCATCCAAGAAGAACACACACCAACTGCAGATGCTTCCTCAGCCTGAGGAAAGGTTTTTAAACCCAAAAACTTGCTAAGATATATTTCTCCAACTACTCAGTTGGTCTTCTAAAAGGTATCAGATTGACTCAAAGAACCCTGTCTGCCTTGTGTGGGTTTAGCCAGAATGGGATGAATGCAGCAGGGATGGTAGTCTGTAACAGGGGTCCTTCCCAGTGCTGGTTAGATCTCGGCCCGCCCACCTGTTTCTGGGCCAACTGCCCACCCCTCTTTCAGCTGCCACACCTTGATGGAAAACCAGTTCAGATGTTACCTTGGTGGGAGGATGCCCACTTAGGTCCTTGATGTCTAGGAGCGATATCCATTCCGCAGCTCCATACCTCTCCTACAGTCCATGCCACACAGATGGGATCCCAGACAGCTAAGCTCACCTGGAGCCTCACAACTCCACTGCAACCAGCAAGCCTCAGGACTCTTAAAGATCTTACAGGTCTGGGCTTTCCCTAGCCAGGACTGTGTGTGCGTGAGGTGGCAGGAGGTTTTCAGGCACCTCCTACTCGGCCTTTCACCAGGGCGGTTTGTGGTCCTGGCATTTCCTGGGGGCTGCCACGCCACTGGCAGTCCCACCAGGCCTCCCAACCCTGGCAGGGTGCAGTTTTAGGTCAAGCCCAGGACCTGGGGCCTCCTCCTTTCCCATAGCCCCAGCCCATACCTCTAAGTTTGTCTTGGCACAGCAGCTCAGCAGGGAGATGTCCTTCCCCTGCTGGCTGGTGATACAGCAAGTGCTGTCTCCAGCTCTGAGAGCAGGGCATTAAATGGTTGTGAAACCAAACCAAATAAAAAAAAGAAAATAGGTGTGGACAGAGTGAGGAGGTGGCACTCACTCCGTCTGCATATGGAACTTGGGGAACCCCAGCAGTGGGAGGTTCACTTTGAGGAACACCAGCTGTTCCATGAAACCAGGATCCAAGGAAGTGCAGTGAGGTGTCACAACACCACCAGCAATGCTGAACACCCTCTCGCTCGGAACACTGGTTGGTGGACAGGACAGGTGTTCCTAGGCAACCATGGCCAGACCCTGCCACATGTAGCTGTGGCTTGCCCAACAAGCCAAGGAGTTGCAGAGCAGCAGCTCCACATCCTCAGTGAGACAGATAGCCACTGAGGCCTTGGCACTACTTGCCCAATGCTGGAGTCTGGTGCCTCTGGACCCCAACATGGAAGCCACGCCCTCGGCCCACATTGGCAGCACCTGTGGTAGAGGACACTGGCTGGTGGATGGAGTGCTGGCATGGGAAAATGGATCCCCCTCTTTGACTTCTCCTCACCTCTGCCCTTCTGCCTCCCCGACTCTGTTCACCAGCACCTCCGTCCAGTGATCAAGGGTTTTGCTGCTGCAAATGCTCCCCTTCACCCTCGGGTCGCACATGCCTGTCAGCACGTGGACCATACTGGACTGCAACGGATCCATCTGTTTCTTGATGCCCTCCTTCAGCTGCTTCACCAGTGCCTGCACCTCAACATTAGAACCAAATGAAGAAGTTCCAGAGGACTGAAGCTCCCTCACTATGGGGATCACCTGGCTAAGGAGGGCATCGCCAGCACTGAGGCTCTCAGAAGCCTCGAGGAATGGCTTGAGGACCACCAAGATCTGGGAGATGGTATCCCACTCATCTTTGTTAAGGGGGCTGCTTAAGATGGCAGCCATCTCATGGATGGCCTTCTGTTGCTTGATCAGCCTTCTGAGCATCAGGCATGTGAAGTTCCACCGAGTCTCCACATCCTGCATTATGTGCTGTGGGATGCTCAGCTCTGCCTGTTTGTCCCGCAGCATCTTGCCTGCCTTGATGCTCCAGTAGAAGCAGCCCGTCACCTTCCTGCATTTTGAAATGAGTTGGCTGGTTGCGAAGGCGTCCTCACCAGCAGCCCTGTTCCCCTCCCAAGGCGTCCCTGACTATAAGGCGGTACTTGTGCGCCACACAGTGGATGCCAACAAAGTTGGCATCACGGACTGCCTTGATCATATTGGCCCTGTTGTCAGTGACCATGAACCCACAGGTGAGCTCACCCTACCCAATGAGCCACCCCCTGCACCATGTGGTTCACGGCCCCCATGATCTCCATTGCCCTGTGGGACTCATCCATCACCTCTGCTTGAAGGAGAGCCCACTGAAACAATTCCAAAACGTTTCAGATGCTTTTGTTTTGTTTCGGATTCAGTGATTCAGCTGCCGAACTAGACTGAAACACCTCTGAAACAAAATGGCTGCCGAAGTTTCGCACAGCCCTACTACTGTCTATACCCTAATGTAGTGTTTATATCATAATTATACATGGACATTAACCAATTCTTTAGTTAGTGGACTGAATCACTAAACAAATCCTTAGCTGGCGCCCAGAACATTTAACTCACCTGTTCCTCCATGTCTGCTTCACCATCGCTAGGCTCATGCTCTACCAAAGTAAGGCCATCCAGCTCAAGTATTTTTAGGCACAGGTTGTCCATGAGGTGTTGGTTGAACTGATAGCTTCAGAAAAAACATGATGGGAATGTCAGACTGGGAGGAAAGCAGCAGTATAATCTCAGCTAACATATGCTCAATAATTCAAGCCTTAGTTACCAAAGTTATAACAAACATCCAAGATGTCACTCATTTATAAGTTCAAAGGATATTGTGTGGCCAACAACAACACTATCCAAAAACCAAGCAGACATGCAGAACCTCAGCAGAACTTCAGCAGACTTAATGCATCCTCCACTCTCCACAGCTCTGCCAGTGCATCGTACCCCTTAACATCCCCTTTGCCATTTCAGTTTTATGCAAAAACTAGTCATTAAACTCCATTAGGATCACTGTTACAAGGACATGGCTACAAAATAAGTTTACCCATTTCAAATGAGACATAAGGGAAATGTGAATCTACACTGTGAACTATAAAAGGCCCCTTTATTAAGCCATAGAGTGTCCTTCTCTTCCCACTTCTTGGCCATCTAGAACAGTCTAGGGAAAATTTCAGCAATCCAGCATTCCTGCTGTCCAGTACTGTGTTACCTCTAAGTATTAGGCAACTCAACATGCTTCTGCCAAGATATTTAGTGAGTTTCACGTGTAATGAGCTAAGACCTGAATGGATGTAGTTCTTTGGAGAGGAAGATGGACTGTACTTGTCAGCAGATACAAGTGAAGTTTGGAACACTGCTGACAACTAGCATAAAATGGGCAGTGCATACTGCAACTGCCCTCAGGGCTTGAAAGTTCCCCTTTTGTCTCATGCTTTGGCTTCAATGTCCCACAGGGCTGGCATTTCAAGACCAGTCTCCAAATTAGTTCCCCCAACTGGCACAAGCCAATGAGTTTAGCTAACCACCCCACAACTTAGCAGAGGCAGAAGCAGTGACAAGTAGCTAACCTTCCTGCGCTGAGGATGAAGTCCCTGAAGAACTGCTGGCACCCTGGGAAGGAAGGGGGTGGGCAAGGCCCTCTGATGCTCTGAGGAGCGACAAATCTCTCCTGCAGCCTCTTCAGCCGACTCAGATCATCACAGCCCAACATATTAAGGACGTCTTGGTCTGGGGTGTCTCCCCAGCTTGTGCCACCACCAACGGGACCTTTACACATCTTCAGGAGGGTAAAGAGGAGGGAGGGAGGAAATTCATAAGGCATCCCAGATGAAAGAAATAATTTGTCCCACACAATCACTTCTCTCCATGAAAGGCCTTTTAGGGTAGGAACCTTCAATACACTGTAAAGGATTGGACTCAGCTGCCTATGAAGCCTGTGAAATATGGCCTCCTTCAGCCAGAGGGCCAGCATAGGCTAAAGCATACAAGCTTCCTTTTTCTCAAAATATGCTACACTCTCAGTCTCTTCCAGCCTAGGTGTCCTGAGACTGGAAATTCAGACCCCACATATTAAACCTAAGGCATTAGAACCTCTTTCCACTCAGAAAAAACATTATCAAGCATAGTTATACCATCTACATAAACAACTTTGTTTCAATGTTCTATGTTTTGGCCTGGCAGTCAAGGAGAAGACTTGTCATCTACTACCTGGACCCAACTAAAAACTGTAGGGTTATTCAGTGTTACAAAGATGAGAAGAATTTGCAGGGACTTACACATACACAGAACTACTGCTCAAAATACAAAGAAAGAAGGCTTCAAGCCCTTAAAATTAGCCAGAGACCTTGACAACAAAAGAATACAACTTCAAAGCATAGTACCCCACTAAAAACAAACACCTTAAAATATGGTATAGTTAGGTTAACACTGATAGGGGTCTTAACAATACCAAATCAAATAGTAGTCATCTTATGAAGGTAGAATCATTTTATGACTGCAAACCCTGAATATTCTTGAGCCCAAGTTCCTTTTGCGTCTCAAACCACAGATTAGGGAGGTCAAATTCTAGTTATTTACATCTGTGCTTCGTTGTTACTTGTAAGCCATTTGCTTTCAAATTGTATTGTAGTGGAATAGTGAAACCCTATAGTCTTCAACAGGAATGCACAGATGTGAGTGAGGGTGAAATTCAGCCTTGTACCTGTAGGTTTGTTAACCAGTTCTGTCAATGCTGGAATAGATTCTGTTTTCCTTTTTTTTTTTTTTTTTTTTTTT